TGGCGTTGCTTGTTCTTATTTTTTGTTCTTTTCCCTTTTTTCCTTTGCTTATGAAACTCTTTATCTCACCCCAGGCATTTTTTTTTTCCTCATGTTTGCTCTTCCAGTTCTCTTCCCCCATGCTGCTGGGGAGCAGCAGGGAGGTGGGGGAGTGAGCAAGCAGCTGCCTGCGCTTCCTTTCTGGCCAGGGTCAACCCAGCACAAGGCTAAAGGAGAACCCAGGAATGAACAGGCACGTAAAAGGGAAAATCGGAGAAGGAGCTGTGAGCAAACTGAGGAGTTAAATGCTGATTTATTCTTAAAGAGAAACATAATTGAACTTGTTTGTCTGTAGTCCAGAAGACTCTCTCAATGAAACCTTATCTTCTGTTGTGGTCCTGGGTTTTGGAAGAACTTACTCCCAATAGTACTAACCTAGTCTTTCACAGACCAGGTGATTAATTTATGACATCCGTTTCCCCGGCTAGGCTAGCCTTGTAGTTGAGTACAAAAACTTGCACGACAGAGGGTTGGTTCATGCAATAGCTAGCTCTGAAGGCTCCGTTACTTGTATTACTGTGTTACTAAGTGTGACCGCGTAGGTTTCTGTGTCTGCAGGCCTCTCTCGCGCTACGACCATCCGCCTCTGCTTTGAGCACAATGCAGGATTTAGCATTCTAACCATTCAGCAGGCGTGTGTGGTTTCTCAGGAAAGCCCCAGACCCCCTACCCTGAGAGGGATTTGTCTGCTGAAGAGGAGCTGAAAAGAATTTGGTCTCAGAGCAGCTCGCTGCCCATACACGAGTACGTATCTGCCACATCTCTACGGTTATACAGAACTGATTTACGTCATGTTCGAAAACCTAATGGGAGCTGAGGCCACCTAAGGGCTGGTGAAAGGCCTGTCATGTAGTGCCATGTCACCTACGTAATTCCACAGGATGTTTCCAAATTTGATAAACTGCAGCATACTACCTTGAGAACTCTTGTCCACCAAACCGGGGCGCTAGCTGCAGCCAGGCGGAACTTGGATTTTAAGGACAGAGGGATTTTGAATGCTTTTGCATAGTTGTGGTCATCTTGACAGAACCTGTAGTTTGAAGCTGGGCTGTTATGCGTAGACGGTACCCAGCGTGTGGGGGTTTACAACAGTTTTCCTTTCTTCTGCAAGTGTGTGGACAACACGCAAAAGGAAAAGTCTCTGCTTGGGATGAGGGCCTCAGGGGAAGAAACAGAGAGGGTGGACTGTCCAGGCTATAACCCGTAAGAATCCAGGTGCTCCTTACCAACAGGTCACGGAGTAGAAGCAGCACATTTTTTTTTTTTTTTTCACATTACTTGCAGCAACTAAAGGACTACATTCCTCTCTTGAGCTAGGATGGAAGAGAAGTGTTTAAAAAAAGGCGCACACTTTGTATGGGGAAATTTTCTTTGTTTTTAATTTACAGCAGAAAGAATATAAAGCATTCAGAAAACATTTTCCATATTTTAAGGGCAATTCAAAACATTTTGCATGGTTCCAGCAGCTGAGTTCTTCAACAGATCCATTGATTCAGTGATGCTTTACATGCACGGTTACAAAAATAAAACTTACAAAAGAGAAGACATCTATACTAGTTTTACATGCAAGTCTTGGGGACCCCCCGTTGGGCACCAACTATTGTGTGGAACTGCCATAAGCGTGCAACCAGAGAGGGGGTTCATGTTATATTCTGTATTTCTTTCACACAGTATTACTGCTGTCGAATGTGTTTCACAAAGGAGCGATTTCCATTATCAGAAGACAGAAGATCTGGCTCCTGGCACTTGGGAATCCGAGTTTTCCCAGAAAGCTGCACTTAACTCATCTTCCGTGAAAATGTAAGTTCCACAACCAAGAAAGGGGTGAGCAGAATCACTCTACTGCAGGGGAGTCTTTCCAACTCCCCAGTGATACACTGAAGGGTTATGGCCCGACACAACAAAGCACTTGGAAGCTGTACCTTGCTTAAAGCATGCAAGTAGTTCTGTAGCGCCCATGGAATTGCTTGCATGTTTACCAGCAAGTACATGCTTAAACGTTTGGCTGAAGCAGGATCTGGATTAGTAGATACACCACCAGGCCCATGGATCTGGAAGAGTAATTTGAAATAGCTCTGTATATTACTGAATCATTTTCTGTAAAGACAAGGAGTTAGAACATTTCCACTGAGGTCACTACTCTTGTTAGGAAAAGGTCGATTCTATATTGTCATGTATTGGTGAATGGGAGCAACGTTTTGGTTTCAAAATGTCAGAGTTCTTCCAGTATTAATACAGAGCATTTCCAATTTGTTCCAAAGGAGATTCTTCGGCGTCTCCTGTTCCATTTTTGCACAGGAGGAGAATTTAACGGCTAAGGTCCCAATTCCATAGAGTAAATCGAGGCTACAAGGCTGCCCACAGGCACTGTGAGCGCCCAGCCATTCGTTTTTCTTTTTTCCCTTTTTTAAAATTGAATCAGGTCGTAAAGCAGCAGTTCAGAAATGTACAAGAGAATTCTGATAATGAGCTATAGCACATCTACTGTAATTCAATGCTGGCAGTGAAAAGAAGTAATTAAAAACAGGTACAATTATAGAAAAGGCACCAAGAGCACTGACCCCAGTTTTTTTGCCACAATCTTTGTTTTTACTCTTCTTCTAAAGACACCAGTTTAAAAGCTTCTTACATGTGAATATTTCGAGGCTTCACAACGAGCCTTGCGTTTAAACACTGCAGTTGGTGGCCGGGATCAAGCAAGAACAACTATTCCAAAACTAACAATCTCAAATTTACACCAGTCCATTCGAAATTTTAATCTGCCACAAGCAAAACAAACACCTGGGAGCAGCTTCTGATCTCAGACACGTGTACGTAACCCACAGCAACGACACGGGCTTCAGCGGTTTCTTCCCTTACGTTCCTGTGTGAGAAAGATCAGAACCTGGTTCCCATTGATGAGAATTTGTGACAGTTCTAAATTAGTAGTTCAATTTAAAAAACCCTAATTTCTTTGGCTCCTCACTATGTGGAAATAGCAATATACCATGACACCCCTACAAGATCAGTTTGCATCTTTTTTTTTTAAGTTTTACTTAATTTTTAAAATTTTTTGTGCAATTTTTATTACATTTTCTGATTTCCAGCAGGAGATATGAAAATGTGAAACATATTTTTCTACTTTCGTACTATTTTTTTTTTCATTTTATGTTCATTCTAAGTATTCTTTATTGGAGTGAGTGTATGGTGTTAAGCTAGATACGGTTTTTGTACTCTTATGATTATCTGCTTTGCAAAAGTAACTTAATTTTTTTAAGCAATATTAGCATTCACATTACTTGGCACCATTGGCAAAACAAACAAACAAAAAAAAAAGATGGGGGAAAAAAAAAGCAGGAAGGAATAAATAAATTAAATCCGACCAAACCAAACTCCTGGTAGCCAAAATCAAATGTAAACATATCCTTTTTTTTTCTTTTTTTTTTTTTTTTAAAGTAATGTTGCTCTGCCTTTTTTTTTCCTAAGTCTAAATACAGTAGCTCTTTTTTTGCCATTTAGTCATGCTTTAGCAAAAATGTTCTTCTAAAGAACATTTAAAATAAAGTTTCTTATAGTGAAATAAAGTTTTTGCTTCATTTTACAGACCATAGCCACTAATGCTTTGCTTTGTTCATTTCTTTTTCTTGAGTTCATGCACATATCTCTTTGTTTTAATATATACAGTATGTACAAACAATACATCCACACTCTTCTCGTTCATTCAGACAAAACTATACAAATAATAATTTTATCTTGCCAAGTTATTGACCCTTTGTGAATAAAATATTTAGTAATTAATCAATATATTCCCTTTCAAATATTTTTTTTTCTCATTTTCCATTTCTACCTTCTATATATACAGAAACTGCCCAGATTTCAATGCAGTAGCCAAAATAAGAAAGTTACTGGCCAGAATGCAGCACCACTCTGATCTTTAGGTGGTATAAAATGTCCAGGCAACAAATGTATGTGACTCTGCAAAACGACAAGAGGTTTGACAAGTACTTAGGATAAAAAGCTACAGGTCTTACAAATTATTTTAAGAACTTAATGAAAATAATAGTACATGGAAGTAAGGCTAGAAAATAAAGTGCTGAATATGAGAGAAAGTACATGGCAATTGGTATGTTTGCAGGTTCGAGTAAAAATACCAAAAGAACTTTTTAAAACTTGCTTAAGCTGCGCTCTCCGTTCCTCACGCGTTACCCGTTTATCTCACACACCAACCCCTTCTGTAATTCCCACGGGATGTATTAAAAACCTGCAGATTTAAAAAGTTGCATTAAGTGTGCTGTAGAGATTTAAATAAACCACAAAGGACAGAAGTGCGAAGGAAATGAGGATGCATGGCCCCAATAAAGATGTACTGATCTAAGCCCCTCCTCTGAGACTCCCAAAGCTTCAGTGTCTTGGAGATGACTGACAGGTGCAGGAACAGCATTCTCATGTTGCTTGTGCATTCCCACCTTTTCTTAACAATATTTTTGGTATAATATTTGTACAGTTCCACATGTTGTTTAATACAGCCCTATGTGAAAAGGATAATTAATCGCTTCTTCCTTCTCGGAGAATGAAGCAACTCACAACTTCCTCCTGGTGTCTTTTGTTTTCCCCATGATCCAACAGAAGATTGAGTTCCAAGATGTCTTGCTGAACAAATTAAAAGTTGTCCATGAAAGTGCAAATGCAATGACCAAAACATTACTGTTAAAATCCTGCAGCTGGTATTTCCAGAACTGCAGTGGGTATTTTTGTTGTTGTTGTTGCATGTCTCTGCTAAAAACAGAAAATGAAAACAGTCTGAAAAGCAATGTCACATTGCTACGGGATGCTGCTGCGTATCTTCAAGTTCCTTGGCCTTTTTCAATTCTTTCACTCTGAAAAAACAAAGAGGAGCTATATGACACTTCTATTGCAAATCTCTTTTAAGACAGAAAAATCAAAGCGACTCCTCACGCTAACCTCCCGTGCGAAAGAGCCAGCTCCCAGCGCGATGACAGGAGGGTAACACGTTCCTGACACCGCCAACAGTCGGAAGCACAAGAATGGGCTGCTAGAAATCAAACACATTTGGGAAGATATACTTATTGCCAGCTACTGTTTGTTCCTGGTGTTTGTAACGGTGGCTGGACTTGTTCTGGTACTTGGCCTATTTAATCGCTTGGGGGTTTTCTGCACTGCTGTTCGTGAACTGATTTTGCAGCTGCCTGCTATTCCAGCTGTTACGGCAAGGAGGCTTTTCAGTGTCGACCTCTTTTCTCCACACGTTGCCAAAGTGGCGACAATTTGATGTCGCGCCCAGCACAGTAGGGGAAAAATCACTCGGTCATACTTACAAGGGAAGCTCGATGTTGATACAGAATCTCAGGTAAGGTCACAAGGTGGTGTATGTGTGTGAGCAGAAGGAACCGGTGTGGGGGTGAAGAAAGAGAATTTACTGCATGCTTATTCCAGCTGCTGGCAGCTGTATTTTCTAGCGTGTTGTTGGTGGCAGAGTCATGTTTTTTCCCAGCCAGCAGTGGGGGACACTGCATGCCAAGGGGATGAACCTACAATGCGCAAGAGTCGCTCTCTCTAGACGCGGCCTGATGCTTCAGCTCTCAGCTCTTTAAAATGCATGCAGTACATTACCTCTGCTAGCACTTGTCAGCACAAGAACTAAATCATCACTGAAAGCTGAAATGATTAAAAATTAAATTAAAAGGATGAAGAGAAGGGAATCATTTCAGTCCCATCAAATAAAGCAGAATTGTGCATCAGTGCTGGAGAAGCAGCAATCCTCTGCTCGGGCTGACAAACTGGCTGGGTGGCAGCGATGGCTCCCTGCAAAGGAGCCAAACCAAATCTGCAGGCACTTCCTGTGCTGCCCCTAAACCTGAAGGCAGGCGCCCGGCTGAGCTTGCAGCAGCCTGGCTCTGCCTCCTTTTGCAGGGAGCTCCTTCCTGCAGTGCGATCCCTTCGCCACCCGCCTCCACGGGCCTTTCCTGCGCTGCTGCGAAGGGAGGACCACCCCAGAAGGAGCGGAACGCAGCCTAAATGAAGGTGATTTAGCAAAGCACATACATGCCCAACTGACGCAGCAAAAACTTGAAAGGACAAATAACGAAGGAATGGTACAAAGAATTGTGTCAGAGCTGCGAGTCTGTGCAACTGAATCCAATTAAGAGCGAATGAATTTAACAAAGCCTAAGTAAATCTAGATCGTAAAAGATGTCAGGAGAGCTAGGCAGCCGCAATGCCAGGCTGTAGCTTCTGTCTGAAGCCTTCCACCCGCGCATCCTCTTTCGGCTCTTGCACCAGCCTGCTAAGATAACGATAGGACGAAGGCTATAAACTGACCTCTGTAAATACACCTCCATTTCACTCTTTTGCTTTTGAATTTTTCTGCACGTACTTTTACTCAGAATCACAGTCAAGAGAGAGCTGGCTGCTTTTAACATTCAGCTCACTCAAAGCTCTAGCACACAAAGGCATTCTCTTTATTTGTGAAACTGGGGGAAACAGGAGTTGAAGAAAAAAATCACAGTGACCAATATGCAGGTTAGACCTTTGCCAAGCACCTTAATCTCAAACAGTTCGGTAGAGTTACCATGTACTGAAAGGCAGGGAGCTCTGCTAGTCCAAATGAACGTGCCGTTTTCAGAGCCTGAAGACCTACACCCAAGGGGCCACGGCACTCCTCCAAAATCCCAGTCTGGCAGAGGGGTGCCTCAGTACAGCTCCCCCAGGTGCCAAGGGGTGCTCTGATCCCCAGGCTGAGGAAGGGGTGAGGCAGCAAGCAGCACCACTGGTTCTGAACTCCTATCTGGGCAGTGCCGTGCCGAGCCTAAATGCCTGCTACAACTTTACAGAGACATTTTCTATGGGGAAATTTTGTCTCTATGCAAGTTGGTGTCTGAAGGACCCTGCTGATATCAGGATCAGGGGCTCCAGCACCACACAGAAGGCAGCAGTGAGCCTCTGCTCGTCCCCAGCGGGTGGTGATGTGTTATGGTGCTACCCAGTCCAGATCATCTTTTCATTACAGGAAACACAGGAGGACTAGCACAGTGAACAGAAAATGCTCACAAAGGACCAACTGACCATCTTCAGTATATTTAGATTTCTTTCTTTTCTTGCAGCAGAAAAGCAGCCTCTCCCTTGAAATTATTACTAATATTCCTATTACAGCACCGCTTAGAAGTGGAAGGTGAGCCAAGATCGCTGCTGTGCGATAAAAACATGGTGTGCCTCTGCACACTAAGCAGTTTTTAAGGCTTAGGTTAACTATGTTCAAGAAACAGTCTATTAACACATGATTTGCAGTGCAACTTCCAAGTGTTTTCTGTTGCACTTCAGTACTGGAACGTAAAATTAACCTGTTATTATAGATCTCTTACGAGAACATGCACATTAGATAAGCTGGTGGCTCTTTCACTGAGACATGCTAGACCTTAGTTTAGCACTTCAACATGCAAGGACTACACTAACAAAGCACTTTTGCTGGAAGAATGCAAGACATGCTTTGCTGCAAACTCAACCTACAGCATGCAATATCTGTACTGGTGCAGACCTACGGAATCTGTTTAACTGGAGCACACATGCCAATGGAAGTTAATTACTGCAGCACTCAACATTTGCGCTAGTACAGACCCTATTCAGAAATATGCAACACTTCCCCTTGGTCAAGGGTACTTTACATTGGTTTACAGATTTTCAGGCTTCTAAAAATGTTGCAAACTTTATGATAATTACTGCTTAAAACCACAAGCACATACTAGTACAGAACTGCCCTACGGCAAAGTTAAAGACCTTGAAATTTGGGTACTTTACTGAAAGATGCTGTTCAGTATGTAATGGCTCAAAACAAACCCTGCATTGCACAGCATTTATAAACTTAAGTTTCAAGGTGATGACCATCCAGATTTATTAAGCTACCACATTTTTAATTAAACGAACCTCTACGTTCAGTAATTACGCACGTGTTACATTAAAAATGGGAGGGCAGGTAGGTTCTGCAGGTCCCTTATTTGTGTAATATCTGCCCGGAAGGTATGAAGACCTGCAGTCTGTGGCTGATGATCGCTCCCCCTCCCTCAGGGGAGCCAGCACCGAGAGGCCAGGGAAGTTCTCCCCTCTCCCAGCCGCAGGCTCCAGGCAGCCCCGCTCAGCTGGGGGCTCTGCAGTGCGGCACAGCCCGAGTGGAACTGAAGTACCTCTAACTGCTGCCAGTAACTGAGCAAACCTGTGGCCAGACCGATACCTGGGAAGCACCAAATCAGCATCATGAACGCCCTGCTTCTTCCCCGAGCCAGGGCTAAGCATGTAGTGCCAGAAGCAGCGTACGCATCAAGCTAGATACCAGCCCAAGGCAATCCATTCCCTTTAGCATTTAAAAGAACTGTTCTTAAACAAGCCTCTGAATTGCTTTATCAAGACAACCTAAAACTAACTGTTTTCAACCAATTAATTCTTTATTGGAGAGTCTGTTAAAAGTCCTGACAGTCCTCATTTAACACTTCTTTTTGAGTAAGTTCTTTACTCGGTGGTACTTTGATTTTGTACAACAATATAAAGTGTCAACATGAGTGCGGGCAGTAATGCTCTGTGTAATAAACCCTCTACATTTTCAAATGCAGTTAATAATACATTTTGACCAGGGAAGAATTTTGGACAAATTAGGACCCTTGAACATAAAATTCCACTGAGTAAGCGCTCCTAGGAGAGGTCTAAGTGAGCAATGTAGCATTGCCTTCATGCTAGAAGGCAATCTTCTTTGGTTCCTATTTTTCCACTCAGACTCAGGCAGGGGAAGAGGCCCAAGCGTTTGCAGTTACAAGCATTAATAAACTGCTCTAAGAAAAAGAACACTCCTGGAATTTATAGAATGGTACAGCAGAAAGGATATTCTCAGAGAAGATGTTTCTATCCACTGTGGTAGACTTACAGCGAGACACTTTTAAAATGAGCGTGCTGAGAGCAAGAAATACCAGCAGGCCACGCGCTGATGGATGGTGTGCAAGCCTCTTCAGAGGTCTACAGGCACTGGTACGCTGGTTTGGATCGCTTCTGGAAGTCCTCCAGCTGCAAGGGGACTGGAGGTGAGGACAGTTCAAGTGACACACGGCTGCAAGCCAGAGCGCACGAGAAGGGGCAACAGGCTCTGGCCATCGCACGACTCCAAACAAGTACCATCCTACTGCAGCAGCTACTGAAACCACGCACAGAATTGCAAGGACTGCAGATTTGATTCTACACTGATGAAGCCTTCAACAAAAACCTCTTCAAATAACATTTTCTCTAGACAGTAAGCGCCTCTAAGGTACCAAGTCATTCCCTCAGCAATTGCTGAAGAGCAGATGGACAGAAAAAGCACGTGCAATAGAGATGACCAGTGAGAAGGTGTCTGAATCGCAGCTGTGGTGCTGACGCAGAGAAAGGTAAAAGATGATGATTTCAACCATGAGCTTTGAACCCTGACACTTGGGAGCTACGTCCCAGTTCCCAGACTGCTCCAGCCAGACAAAGCTACGGCCCTTCGAACTGTGGTGACTTAGCTGGACACCATACAGGAGGTTGCATCGTTACGTGCTGAAGCAATGTAGAAAGCAACAGCCCCAGAAGCGAGCAGCAGCTCCTCTCCCCACGCACCCTCCCCAGTCTTGTATGGGAGTGTGCCAGCAAATGAATTAGGCCTACTTAGAAAGAGTTAACAGCAAACGATGGCTTCATGGGTAAAGCGTAACACAAAGCTGTTTCATCGAATTCTCTCCATAATGCCCAGCCAGGGAAATGTTTAATGAATCTGAATGCTGAAGATCAGTATAGAGGACAGGGTGCAGGAGCCAGACGAGGCTGGTGGGCGAGTTACCTGTTGCTCTGAGAGCTGAAATGGCCT